ATTTCAATCAATTTCATGCTTTAGCAAATGATCAGAGGGACTGGACTAGAGAAATTTCAGAACCTCTAACAAAAAATCCATCAATTAAGGGCTTAGACGATGGATGATGGCTATTGTATCTATAATTTACACATCTCGAGCGAATTTTCTTTTCATCATCGTTTTCTTTCAATCTGCAAAATTACATTTTGGACCTCAATAATAAAAATAAAAATAAAAAATAAAAATACTGCCAATGGTCTAATAAAAAGCTGATGGACATGCATTTGGTTCATATACTTTATGTAGTGGATTCTTCCCTTGGCTTTAATCCTTTAGGCTGTGGCCATAGTTATTGAACCTAAACCAAATCTGAACCCTATCGTCCAGTCAAATTGGGAAACCCATGAACCAGACCTTGGTTCAAATTGATAACTACATTTGGACCAGTTCGCAATTGAACAACACGCGAACTGGTCGAACTGGTTGGTTGTCACAACATCAGGACCATGGTCGTTTAAGCTTAACGAGTCATTGAGAAGTTTCAAAATTGCAATAGTGGGTTTGATCCCCAAGACCCATTAGGTATCAGAATAATCCAACTACTCATATGCTAGTTCTTTATATCATGACTTTCAAGTACAAACAATGACAAAATCTAGACAAGGAATATCGAAAGAGAAAATTCAACGCTTCTGTGATGAAAACTAAACAATTTAAATATGCGTGAGCAATTGAATTTTCAAAATTGCAATAGTTCTCTAAGTTGATATTCAATGCCATTGACGTCAATTGAAGTTGATATTTTTTTGACAATCTTTGACGCAATGTGTCCATATACGTGTAGGAGCATATATATGCACACTCGTGTGAGAGAGAGACATTAGTAGATGGATGCACAAATCTTATTCATACACAGGGCCGGCCCTAAGCGACTAATTAATATGAGGCCTGCTTTACATTTGTTCTTTTGCCAAAACTCCGGCAAATTGTTTCCTCCTCGAGCAATTTATTACAACTTTTTCACTACTAGTGAAATCAGATTTGAATCTTTTCTATCAAAATGCGACTTTAACTGTACTCTGAAATCAGATTCCATCATCATAAGGGAAGTAAGTAGAATCCAGCCATTCCTCTCCGGTTATGAACTCCGATACTGTAAAGTTAGAAGCATCCTCGTAATCCATTACGTGATAACCTGGCCAAGAAACACGATTATCAGTTCTTGAACCAGGGCCATTATTTTCATACTCTCCATAATACAAAGTGTCCAATCCTTGACTACCATTCCAATTAGTCCACCCTTCTGGTGCAATAAAATCATCAATGTAGGACTCCAAGTAAACTGTCCTGGAAAAATTTCTCCAGGGTCTTCCCAAATAACTCTTCACAGTGCTGGACTTAGAATACAAATCATCTGTAGCCATGATTGAACAATTTTGCAATGAAATCCCGGTGTCCTCATCCAGGGTGTCCCTGGACTGGGCTGTGATCACAGTGAACTGGCCTGGCAATGGCATTCTAGAGATGATTTTACATCCTTGAAAGACAACTGCAGCATTTCCGAATATGTAGTCTATGGTTCCATAAATGTCACATTCTCTGTAGAATTGCCTGAAGGAATGAACATAGAGTGTATCTTGGTAGCCATTAATGGTGCATCGGTAAACAGCAGATAAGTCTGCATTAACACGGAGAGCCACGGCCTGATACTTCCCTGGTCCTGCTGTGTTCTCGAACGTTATGTCACGTGCCAAGAAACCATCACCGGAAACAGCTGAAATTAGTTAAAACAAACAAAATAATTATAATCCAGAGATACTCCTCGAGCAAACATTTTGTAATTGAAGGTAGAATTGCTCAATACTTTTCAGTTCTTAGTTCAATCTAGGTTGTACATAAAAGCAAACATGAAGCATGGTTTTCATAATATAATCAATTAACCATTTTAATTTGGAAAAATTGTTTAACATTAAGAATATATTATAAATAAAATATTTATGAAAAATATTGATAATCTTTTTTTACTGATTTACTTTATTGGGAGAAGGATCATTAATAATTATTCACAATTCTAGCTAAAATCCATAATAAAGCCAACAATTCCAATTTACTTTTTATTCAATGCTTTATTAATTTATCTAATTTTATTACCAAGAATGATAATAAGAAGAAACTTATTTTATTTTTGTTCGAAGCTTCTTCTAGTTTTTGAAGCATGTCCAAGTTGGAACCGTTAACCCTTTTTAAATTTGAGTGCTTAGAGTGCAAATATGCTGCCAATTTCATTATTTTAATAGAATTTGCTTAATTATTAAATGATTAATTGTGCTATTGTGATCAGACAAAACTTTCTACATATAAGCAAGAGAACAGAAGGATAAAATGCCAAGAAATTTTGGAAGAAACTTGACTTCACCAACAGTGGCAGATCTCAAAGTAGTCCAGCCATCTGCTATACTTCTGTTACCGCTAATTACTGTAACTTCACTTCCACCTCCAAGCAAAACAATGTTAGGCTTCCAACTTGGAATCTCCACATTTTCTTTATACAACCCTTCTTTAACATAGATTATTATTCTATCTAAGCTGTTATTCGGGACAAAATTTACAGCATCCATAATTGAAGAAAAATTTCCGGTTCCATCAGCAGCCACTGTAAGAACCTCGCTCGGATTATATTCATCACCGGAACTCTGCAAAATGTGACGATCCGTCCTGGAAAGCCACCTCGGAGTCGCTAAGAGATGCCTATTTTTATGGCCTATAGATGCACCTGGGTGGGAGAGCATTGATAAAGAATTGCTTATATGCTGATAAGTACTAGTCAATGAATCCACCAGGGATGATTTTAGCGGGCCGGAAGCCGAATTTAGGCCTTCCAAGCAAGTGATCTTGTTTGTTAAAGCTGCACTTAGAAAAGCCCTCACATCAGCCAGTTTTCTTGAGTCTGGTGAACTTAACCGGGACATGGATTTTTCCAAGGAAGAAAGTGTTATTTGGTGAAGATCTTTGCAATCTTGTAACGTACCCTTCTGTTTTTCAACAATATTTGCAGCATTGGAAAACAGATTTGACAGTTTTATGCCTTCAGATAGAGCAGTTTTGAGTGACNCCTTCTGTTTTTCAACAATATTTGCAGCATTGGAAAACAGATTTGACAGTTTTATGCCTTCAGATAGAGCAGTTTTGAGTGACCGGAGTAGAAAATTAAGAATATTCGGACTGATGTGCTGAGATGGATAGCTTCAGTGAATCAAAACAGGCTTCAGGGAATGGTGTTGATCTGCAAACTATTCTGATTGCAGAAATATTTGAGTCTAAAAATGAAATTGAAGATGATGAAGAGCTAAGAGCATATGTTAATGAGAAGAGAGAAGATAGAAGCAGGAAGGACTTGAGAATGGGAGATGCCATGACCTTAGAAAGTAACACAGAAAACTGGAAAGTCGGCACTATCGGTATCGTCTATATAAGCGTATACGTGAACCTACTGTAACCCTCCTCATTTACCTGAAAACACTGGAATTAAGCTCCCTGTACAGGGGAAACCTACAAGTGGTAATACTGTATCAACCATGCTACATTACTAGAAAAGTTTGACATCTTCCTTGACAAAATGCCACTATCACTGAGCTTTTTTAAAAACAATCAACTTTTACAACCAATCATTTCGTGCCGTCAATACATCTATCAACTAGGATGTCAATATTTTCCAACAAAGTAGCTGAATTCATACCGCATTGGCTGGTTGCCCCGTGTTTTTTTTCTAATAGTCGATAAATCTTGACAGTTGACAATCTGTCAAAAAATTTGTCAATCGGCCCAGTACATGTAACAGGATTGAAAACACTGGTGTGTGTCGTTAAAATACAAGTAAAACTGATCACTTCAACTGGTGAAGTGGTGGGGACGCACTCGTTAATTTAATGTTAGTTTTACGAATGAAAAACTGCAACTAGTTATGCATAATCGCCTGTCTAGTCCACCTATTTAATCAAAAGGATGTGCATTCACGGGTTTCTGAATGAAAATGTCTCTTATGGATGGGCAGCAAAACTTGGACATGGCGTGCTAGGGGGTGTACTTGTAGATTCAAATTAATTATTTTTTATTCACTCGCAGGTGTGAGAATCCTCTCTATTGAGTTCCAGATAATGTTAATAAATAATAATACTTCAGTTGTTTTTACCCTCTTCTTATTATGTTGTCCTTGACCAGTTATAATTTTTTTTTCCCCCTAATTTTTACTTCCCAATTTTCATTTGCTCATCCTTTCGTTACCGAGTGGAAGTTAGTGTAAAACGGATTGACTTGAACAGATCAGTTGGAGGCCTGAGCCTCAGCTTGTAGAGGCCGGAAAGACGAGGCTTGGCCCCTTGCTCTCGGGTGGCAGACCATCTTCACGCATCTAATTTAGTCTCTATTCGGTCTTCATTTCTAAAACTCATTTTTCTTCAAATTCATTTTTGGTCACACATGTCATTTGATCCATATTTTTATTAACTTTTCAACCACACATTTCATTTCTCCGTTAAAGATATTTTGTACGTACACTCTGCCGACTGTTATGGTTTATAAAGTAGAAGACCGGAGTCAATGGTGGATGATTGAGTGGCGGGATCGTCGGTTTGTCTGCATTCTGTTGTATGGCCTAGCAAGGTATTCAAATCCTAAATTTTGTGCTTAGGAAAGATTTGCGCCAATTTCTATTATTTTGTTTTACTGTTGAAAGTCGACATAGTTTTTCTGTATGCTGCCAAAGAAGAGCTTGTGTCTGGTGGATTCTCATCCAAGTTGTTTGATGGCCATTATTGATGAAAACAATATTTTGAATAATGATTTTTAAGAGAATATATGGTTAAAAAGTAGGAAAATTTTGAATTTACGTGCAGAATGTAATTGAAAATGAGTACGTAAAAAACAAAAACAAAAAAGTTTTAAAATAATGGTTGTCAAATTAATGTTTCTAGGAAAGAGCTTTAAGCTACTGAAATTTGCATTTCGATGTTGGAACTTGAGAGAGAGTAGTAAGACAAAAAATATTTAAAACATGTTGGTTTAGTATTAAACATGGATGGATTGTTTTTTAGGAAATGGAGTAAGCGCGGCTTATGCTAATAATAAGCGACTTATTTTTAGGCATGCTCGAACATGTGGTTAATTCCCTACATGGTCATTGAATTTTTCTTAAAATTCCCACAGGGTCACTGAATTTGAGAACTTCTTCCGTTAGTCACTTAATTTTGAAAATTGGTACCCCATCGTCACTGCATAAGCGACATTTGCGAAATTGAAGGGATTTGATGGCATTTCTAACGATATGGCTTACATGGCATGTCATTGTAATAAAAAGATGCCAAATTGTGAAATTGAGCACGAGTCTACAGGTATGTGACTTTCTTATTTACAAATCGTCGAATACATATTTGGGTGTTTTCTTTTTAATGATCGTTGAATGCGTGATTTATGCAGTGATTTGGCTTTTCCTTTTCTTTTTTCTTTTTTATTACAATGATTTGCCACGTAAGTTAAACCGTTAGACATGCAATCAAATCCTTTCGATTTTGCAAGCATTTTTTATGCGATGATGGATAAGATACCAATTTTCAAAGTTAAGTGATTAACAGGACAATTTTTTAAGTGCAGTGACCCATAGGAACTTCAAGAAAAGTTCAGTGATCATTTAGGGAATTAACAGGGCAATTTCATCATGATGTTGCTTAAAAATAAGTGGATCCCACAACTTCTCCCAAACATGCAAACCTTGCTTTATTTTCTTATAAGGGTCCGTTTGATTGCAACAGTTAAATTTGGGTGAAAAGAAAAAGAATTTCAGGTAATTGAATTATTTAAAACTTGTTTTTCTGGAAATTATCAATTAAATGTATTTGATTGGTATAATTTTTCACCTGAAAAATATTGAAATTTTGAATTTTTTGGTGTTTGTTTGTCTTTATTTTTTATGAAAATTGTCAATTAAAGGGATATAATTTTTTACAATTATGAATAAAATTTGTTCCCATTGTTGAAAATAAAAAAAATAAAAAACCATTAAAGCTGGTTTTCCACCAATTCATGGAAAATGCACATGTAGGGAAAAAGTTGGAAATGGAATTCCCTAAAAAATGTTGCAATCAAACAAGCTATTTTGATGGAAAACGAAAAATGTGGCCAATCAAACAGGCCCTAAGATTGATATTTTTTTTATTTAACCACCCAAAACAAACATGCCTCGACTTCCCCTGTAAGCCTTCTAAACGGATACGAATTTTGCTTCTTTGTGTCAATAATTTGGAGGCCTTAGACAATCACCTAACTTCTGCATTACAAACATTATTTAGGGCTTGTTTAAGCCCCATTATTTCCTAATAATTGTATATTGATAGAGACTGTGTGATTAAAAAATAAGTAAAAGTTTTAAATTTACGTATAATATTATTTTATTAAAGAATGTGTAATTCAAAAGAAAAGAGAAAAATGTCTTCTTAAAAAAATGATGATCAAGCAAGGGCTTAATCTTCACAAATTCAATGCCTTAATTTGTTGATCTCTGTAGTGCATGTGTATGTCGAATTTTAAGCATTTCAAGCTACAATGAATTGGACAAGTTTATCTGGAATAATTGGGTTTAGAATGTCAATAAGCTTTATTAGAATAATTAGTCTGTGTGTACAGGTTTATAGAATCCCTCCAGAATACTCACATGAAACCCCCATGTGAATAAGATATTGCATAATAAATACCCACCCACCCCCCATTGTGTGTCAAATCGTTTGTCTGCTTCCAAGCAATTGATTTAGCTTTAGTTGAAGGAGGCAAATGGTTTCATTTTCAAGCAAGGAAAAAACGGATTCTTGTCGAAAACACTTACATTTCGAACAAAAAAATCTTAATGATCTATTACTGTACAATCACACGAGAGGAAAGGTCTCTCTCATGGTTGAAGGGGTGAAGCCATCAACTTTTGACAGGCAAAACCCCACTTACACATCAAAAGAAATAGAAAAATGGAACCTTAAAATGGAAACGTTACATCAATATGTTCCTTCCCCTCAGCATCCCTACAAATTGGAACCTGTGTTCTACAGAGCCCTTTTCAAGCTACTCCATCAAAGACGACAATACGTCAAAAATACAATTTTCCAGTAATTTGACAATCCGGCAATTAAAAGGCAAAAAATCTACTACTTCTAATGAATCAACGACTCATGAACCTAATTCTGGGATAAATTTCTCATGACGTAATCCATAATCCTAACTGATGCTCCACCTCTTCCCAGTTGTGGACCTTGGTGACAAGAGGATGTCGATTAACAGACTCCATCTTCGACCAAGGATATGAATTCTCATAATCGAAAAGAAGAACCTTAATGCCGACTTCAGCACACTCAATTGCATATCTTGGATTATCGTCAATCAAAACCTTTGCTCCCAAGGACCTGGCAGAAACAAAGCAAAATGACGAAGTTGATTAGATGGTAGTTTTCTTGGACATATTTACAGATTTCTAACCATCTCTCCTCATCGACATGATTGCAGATCAAGAAATAATGACTGTCCTAGCATATAATCACGCTAGAGTATACCGCAATTTAATTACACGCTTATCTTGATGAAGAAAAGTATACTTGGACATGTCATGGAAGGTAAAACGTGAACATTAATATCATGTTAAAAAAACTAACAGTAGATAATGAATAATATACTTGCAAATGTCTGATTTACGTCTGGATTTTCCATCCAAAGCAAAGTGATTTCCAAACTGGATCTCCTTGAACAACCCCGGATAATATCTCTCAATCCATTCAACCGTATGCTCCTTAATTGCATTCTGTCGGGACCTGCGCAGAATTAATAAATGAAAATTAGTTTCAAAGGCAAATTGAAGAAGAAGTCAAGCCTGCAAAGGTTAAGGATACATACGTAACAACTGACAGATTACAAAATTTGGACAACTTTTGAAGAGCTTTCTGGGCTCCTGGAATTGGATGAATTCCTTTCTTAAAATAAGATGTCTTAAAGAACTCGTGCACGCGTATATCAGCTGTCAAAAGAAAAATAATGATTTTCTTATTCAGGCTGTCAAGTATGGGGACTCTGGAAGGTGTGACAGCATGTTTGAAGCTAAGATGCAAGTGTGTTCTAACACAGATTTAAACATTTTTCAACAAATTACCAAACTATTGAGCAATAATTTCTAAAGAAAAGGTATATGATGTTCTCTAAATAAATATGAGACTTGCCCTTTTGCAGTTATACATCAAAGAAAATCAAAGCCCTCATCTAATACTAGAATCAACGACAGTCATTGGAAAAATTTTAGTCACAAAAACAATTCATAATAAATGAAATTGGAAAAGAAGGGAGTGGGCATTGGTGTAGCAACTAATAAGTTCTAGGTAATATGACCAAAA